AAGTGTGGTCTGTGAGGAAACTCCTTCTGCCTTGCTCACCTTTGATTCCAGCTCCTCTTTGGATAAACAGAGGTAGACACAGAGGTGAAGTGACAGTTAAAGACGGGTGTGGCCTGATTTGACTGAACACCATAGCCTGGTGGTTAAATGTAGCAGCTACTCTCGCAGGGTTCCTGGAAATAGTGGGAAGGAGGCCCTAGAAATGGCAAGTCTCGACAGCCATTCTTAGCAGAGGATGTTAATGTCCTGAGCATGTACTCCTCTTGCAGTTTGGTTCCTGGCACCCAGGTTGGATGACACACAACTACATACAACTCCATTTCCAGGAGATCTAACACCTTCTGGCCTCTGAGGTTACCTGCACTCACAGGCACACACACTTGCGCATATGTAAAAATGAAATAAACCATCATAAAATAGATAAAATATTTTGATCCCCTCCTATATAATCTGAAGCAGGAGGACCAATAGGAGCTCCAGCCTGAGCTGCATCCTAAAAATGCTATCTAAAAAATAGGTTGTTTTCCTTAGAAGAATGGAAAGGTGGCACAGGAGGAAATGTCCAGAGTCCCACCAGTTAAACTCAGCAATGATTTTGGTGTATCTTTTCCCCCTGCTACACTGACAAGTGACCCCTTATTCTTCCTGTTTCAACAAAGAATACCTTGGTGGTTTAATTTGCCTCTGGGAACCAATGATGCAGATTTCAGAACCCATCGAATGTGGCCCAATGTGGTCATCACACGAGACGGGAGGGGACAGCCAGACGGTACCCTCCACCCCTGAGCCTGCCACCAGCTTTATGATTTTACCTTCCTCGTGTAGGTTATGATCTGTGTTTAATTAATTTGAGGGTCTGCTATGAGCTCATCTCCTCAGGTTCATTTTCCTCCCACATGGATATTTAATTGCTTCGGCTATATTTATTGAAAAGATCATCCATTCCCCACCATATTGCAATGTCACCTTTGTCATAAATCAAATGACCTCATCTGAGCGGGTCTATTTCTGCTCCATTGCTCTATTTGTCAACCCTGTCTCTTCAGCATATTAATTACGGTCGCTTTATGGTAAATCGCAATGTATATTTAGTATAGTCCTCCAACTTTGTTCTCTCAGATTGCCGAGGCTATTCCTGGTTCTCTGTTTCCCGCACATTTTAGAATCAGTGTGTCAGTTTCTGCCACAAGAAATATGCTGAGCCTGAAATAAGTCTGTAGGTTGATTTGGGAGTAACTGACATCTTCACAGTGTGAAATCTTCAGCATATGAACATTCTTTAACATCTCTAATAATGCTTTATGGCTTTCAATATGGAGAGATCTATTCCTGGATGTTTGCTGTTTTTAATGTAAAATGATAAATACTGTCATTTCCTTTCTCTCTTTTAAAGATTTATCTTTATTTTGCATGTGTCCATGTGTGCTGCATACATGTAAGTGCACCACAGGAGAGCTGCAGAGGCCAACAGAAGGTGTTAGATTCCCCTGGAACTGGAGTATAACCCAGGTGGTTATGAGCTGCCATGTGGGTGCTAGGAACCAAACTCAGGTCCAGGTCCTCTGCAAGAGCAGCGATTTGTTTGTTTGTTTGTTTTGTTTTTTGAGACAGGGTTTCTTTGTGTAGCTCTGGCTGTCCTGGAACTCACTCTATAAATCAGGCTGGCCTCAAACTCACAGAGATCCACCTGTCTCTGCCTCCCAGAGCGCTGAGATTAAAGGTGTGCGCCACCACCACCCAGCTCAGTAATCACTCTTAACCACTAAATTATCTCTCCAGAACCACCACCTCCTCTTCCTCGAGACAGGCTCTCTAGCCCAGACTGGCCGAAAACTCACTATATAGTGCATGCTGGCCTTGAACTCCTGATCCTTCGTCTCATCTGGGATTATAAGTGTGAGCTACTATGCCCTGCTCTGTTTCATTTTATACTGAAACTCAATGAAGTTTTATTTATGTTGACCTTGAATCGAGGACTTTCTAAATTCATTTGGCTGTTGCAGACTCTTCTGGCTTCTCTACTTTCACAAACATGTTGTCCCAAGCACAGCCGGCCTGACCACATTTCAGATAAGTACTGGTGGCCTTCCTACTGGTGGTCCCAGGTTTCCTGTTGTTTAAATGATTAGCTGATATCTAAATCTCTATCTCTGACCCAAAACTCCACTGACTGCTTCTACCAGCCTCCAGAGTCCCTTGGGTGCTAATTTTTCTCCTTGGGTCTCCCTGCTGCCTCTGGGGAGATCTTGTCAAGAAATAGCTGTTAAGGTGAACCTCAGAAGGTACCGGCGTCACAGACACCACTTAATGCTGCTGATGCTTCCCTCCCCAGGAATTCCTATGCAAGAGCCAAGAGCAGAGCTCTTGGTTGGCATGGGGAGTTGGAGAAATCAGGGTTCTTGGAGGAAGACCTCTGAGGCTCTGGATGACATTTGCACCTCTAGAACATTTCACAGCTATGGAGGAAGCAAGTGGGTCTGTGTCTCATTTTGGTTCTATTGTTGTGGTGAAATGCCATGACCAAAAGCAAGTTGGGGAGGAAAGGGTTTATTTAGTTTACACTTCCAGGTAATAGTCCATCACTGAGGGAAGTCAGGACAGGAACTCAAACATCAGGAACCTGGAGGCAGGAGGTAATACAGAGGCCATGGAGGGGAGCTGCTAACTGGCTTGCTTAGCCTTTCTTATAGAACCCAGGACCAGCCCAGGGATGGCACCACCCACACTGGGCTGGGCCCTCCCCATCAATCACTAATTATGAAACTGCCCTACAGCAGGATCTCATGGAGGCATTTTCTCAATCGAGGTTCCCTCCTTTCAGATGACTCTAGTTTGTGTCTCGTTGACATAAAACTAGTCTGCAGAGTCTGCTAACTACAGGGAGAGACTGTCTGCCTGAGAGGCTGTGGGGATTGGCCTGCTGCCTGAAGGCAGAGGCAGAGGCAGAGGCCTAAGCAGTTCAAAGAGGCTGCACGATGGAGACGTGAGGTACAGTGTCTGGGTCCCAGAACCTAGAATTTTAGTCATGACCCCCTGAGAAGTAAATGAGAGAGGTAAGGAATTTGACATCACTCCCAGACCCAAATCTACCCAAGTGCCAGTGTCTGAAGACCCCAAGCTTAGAGAAAGGGGAGAGAGAACACAACTAGAGAGATGGCCAGCATCTGTTGGTAATCCATTACGCTGCACTTCCTAGCCTTTTGAGCTGTCTTCCACAAGCACCGCTAGATAGATAGGTGAGGGACACAGAGGCTCAAGTTGCTCAACTTGTTCTAAGTCACCCATTTTATGGAACAGACTCTCTACAACTGCAACTCAACGATGCATTTCCATGTAAACTCCCCGGTCTCTAAGGGTCCCAGACACTGACTCTGTCCTTAAGGAGTGTTAGAGAGACTGCTGATCTTCTAAGGATTCCACTGCCTTACACACGGCAAGCTCCTGGTGAGGAAGCGGTGGTCCTTCCATCTTTTTCAGTGGCACCTGCTGCCTGCACATCCTCTCCAGAACTACCAAACTGATGGGGAAAATACTGTTTCTGGAGCAAGAGCAGTCAGAGACTGCAATGGTCCTGCAAGCCAACTCTTCAACTAGATGAGTAATCCAAGCATTCACATGCAGAAACAGGGTAAGCTGCGTAAGGCAGTGTATCTGCGGTCCCAGCTATTCCAGAGATGGAGGCAGAGGGAAACCCCTCTGGGAAACACAGCAAGACTCTATTCAGAGACAGGGACAAATGGATTCATTTCATTTCTGAAATGTTTTGAGCTACTTTATATTCAAAGACTCGAGTGTCGTTTATCAATATACTGATCCCAGCCTGGGACTCCCTAGGACAGACTGCTGGAAGCCCCTCTACCCTTCAGGTCCCCAGTTTCCCCCTCAGGTCTAATCATATTATCCTTTCCAAGCCCATGTCATTCCCATTGACAGAGCTCAGTAAAGCCTCACGCAAGATGAGCAAGGTGTGGGGTCCAGGCTAGACCACAAGAGACAGTGGTCCTAGAGTGTTAGACTAGTGTGCAGTGTCCTAGAATAGGGTTAAAATCCATAGTAAGTGGGTAAATGGGACTCTGCTTTTTCTGGAGAACTTGACCTGTGAGATAGCTACCCTGGCCCCACCCAAGGTTGACCTTTTGGCTCGGCCCTTTCCGGAATTTAGGCAAATGGCATGTCCACAAGGACGACCCTTTTGGAGTTGCCAAGTGGTATAATACCCACTCTCAGCTTGGGCAACAGTACTGCAAACTGGCCGGCTGGCTCCTTGTTAATGCTGTGTGTCACTTTAACAGGTTTTCTGTTGGTCAGTCAGCAACAAACAAGAGTTGAACATGGCAAAATTTTTAACATATCATTTGATTCAGTTTGCTGTTTTTTCACATTTATGGAGGGGGGGCAGTTTAGACATGGTCTTGTTATATTGCCCAGGGTAGCCTCAAACTCACAGCAATACCCCTGCCATAGCTTCCCGAGAGTTGGGATTACAACCGTGTAACACACCATGCCCAGCCCACATTTATGTTCTTGAGTGAGACTGTTTCAGATTTTCCTTTTCTTGTATTCTTATTTGGCTGAGAGTCAAGGTCATACCTGCTTCACAGAGTTAAGTCTGCTAGCCTCCTAACCCTTCTGCCCTCTTTTTTGTAATTCTTTGACATAGATTGATATTTGTAATGGGCTTTGTTTTTTTTTTTTTAAAAAAAAAAAAACACTCTTTGGCAGGCGACTTGGCACAAACAAGAAGGTGGACACCTCTTTTCCTTGTTTGTAGTCTGTGTTGGCTTATTTATTTTATTTGCAACCCTTTTGTTGTTTCTAAAACTGTTCTGCCGGGAGCCAGTCATTTCCCTAAGGAAGTCTGAAGAGAGTGAGGGAATCTCCAGGGACAGAGAAGTTACGCTGAGAGAGAGACACACACAGGCCTAAGCCCATACCGGCACCCACTGAGCCACCCCAGGGTCCCTGGGACCAGCTCAAATGACCCTCCTATTTCAGGCAACATGTTCCGCAAGAAAAAGAAGAAACGCCCTGAGATTTCGGCCCCACAGAACTTCCAGCACCGTGTCCACACCTCCTTTGACCCCAAGGAAGGCAAGTTCGTGGGCCTCCCCCCACAATGGCAGAACATCCTGGATACCTTGAGGCGACCCAAGCCTGTGGTGGATCCTTCTCGAATCACACGGGTGCAGTTGCAACCCATGAAGGTAATAGGACAAGCTTATCGCTATGTTCAGTGTCTCCCACTCCACAGGAAGCTCTCTGTGAAACCCCAGGGATACCTGGAGGGGCCACCTGAGTATCAGAATTAAGTCTGCGGTCTCAGTCCTCTGCTAATCAGCTTTCTTCCTGGGGGGAGTTTTGAACCAGGTGTGGGGGCTTTTGATTATAAGTCCAGTGCAAGACAGTCATATTGCAACAAGTTGAAGGCCAGCCTGAGCTACAGGGTGATGTTCTGTCTTTAAAAACCATCCCAAACCCACCAAAATTAATTAATTAATCAATCAATCAGAATTTCAGCTAACACCAATCTTTAAAAATGTCTCATCCACCATTTAGATCTGTAGCCCCAGAGGAGTTACATTTGTCACAGACCAGAGGTCACATGGGAGATTTAAGAGTTGGGTAGGAATCCGGGTCAGGAGCCCTGTTGTAGGGTGGGATGTGGTGGAGGGGAAGGCCCCAGAACTGGTTTTCTCAGACATCTCTCCGAAGACCATGGGAAGAGCTAGAGCCTGAAGCACCTCTCCTTAGTTCTCCAGCTCCCTAGGCTCCCCTGGCCATCCACTTTTCATGCTGGCTACCTACCCATGGCTACCTACTCATCCGTCCTGATGATAAGGGCTTTCTCCCTGTATCCTTACGGGGCTGCACAGCATGGGCCTCACCCACTGTGAGCACAGGCAAATGACTGGAAACCTAATGGGTGGGTGGGTGACAAAGGAGGTGTATGGGTAAGATTTTCCTCCCCAGGGCCCCCAGGCAGGCTCTGAGCTACCCTCTGCCATGAAGGGACTGCTTCTCCACACTCTTTTGTCTTCCTTCCATAGACGGTGGTACGGGGCAGCTCTGTGCCCACGGAGGGCTACATCTCAGGGCTGCTCAACGACATCCAGAAGTTGTCAGTAATCAGCTCCAATACCCTGCGTGGACGCAGCCCCACCAGCCGGCGGCGGGCACAGTCTCTGGGGCTGCTAGGGGACGAGCAATGGGCTGCTGACCCAGATATGTACCTCCAAAGTCCTCAGTCTGAGCGCACGGATCCCCACGGCCTCTACCTCAGCTGCAATGGAGGCACACCAGCAGGTCACAGGCAGATGCCATGGCCGGAGCCTCAGAGCCCACAGGCCCTGCCCAATGGGCTGGCTGCCAAGACACAGTCCTTGGGCCCTGCTGAGTTCCAGGGTGCCTCGCAGCGCTGCCTGCAGCTGGGTGCCTGCGTACAGAGTTCCCCACCTGGCACTTCACCCCCTATGGCCACAGGGAGGCGTGGGGTGAAGGCTGCCAAGCATAACTCGGAGGAGGTACGGCCACAGTCCTGCCTGGTGGGCTCAGCCATTGGCAGGCCAGGTGGAGAAGGCAGCCCCAACCCTAAGAATCAGGAAAGCAGCCTCAAGCACCGGCTCTTCCGGAGCATGTTCCTGTCCACTCCTGCCACAGGCTCTGCAAGCAGCAGCAAGCCGGTCCCTCTGCCCCAGAACAAGGTATACCTACCTGGGGCTTCCTCCTGAGGTCACTCTAAGGAGGGCAAGGAAGCCCTCCTAGTAGACATCTATAAGGCAGTAAGTACTAGAGATGCCAAGTCAGCCTGGCCTCCCCACTTACTGGGTCAGGATAAGAAAGTGAAAAAATCAACATGACCATCTTAGCTAAAGACTATAGCCTGAATTCACCATCTGAGTCGGTGTGTTCCCAAGGCCTAGCATGGGGGAGTCACAGGCTGTAAGCCAAGTCATTTCAGGTAGAAGGAAAACCTCCATGGCTGAAATTCCTGTTCTCTGAGGCCTGGCAGCCCACTGGGAGGGCCCTCCTTTAAAAGCATCCTTAACCAAAAGTTCAGGGCAGAACCTCAAAACCCAAGCAGGGATGTGTACCTTGGCCTGGCAGGACTTAGGCAGGACCTAGATTTGGGGTGTCTGAGCAAGCAGGTCAAAGTGACGATTCCAGGAGATTCCCTTGAGTGAATTCAGTGCTGTGGCCATGTACAAAGCCAGTGAGTATTGAGACATGTGTCTCTGTGATGGACTTAGGGATATGTGTAGCCCCTAGCTGGTCCTCTCAATGTTTAAAAACGCAGGATCCTGGACAGGATGGTGAGGGGTGGGCTCCTTTCACTCCAGGGCTGGCAGAAAGGCCTGGGCTCAGAACGAGAGGGGTTTCCCTGGCATTCAGAAATGGGCTGTCCCTCCTCTGCCTCACTCCCCCCCCCCCCACTGAGGCTGTGAGACTAGCTTCCCACTTCCTTCTCCACGGGTTCCTTAGCCAAGATCCTGTTGATGGGTTTAACCTCCTAGATACACAGCCTCCCTGCTGTTGGTGCGAGCAGGGCTGCCAGGTCCTGGCCATGGCTCCTTCCCCGTGTTGGTTCTGGGAGCCAGTCCCAGCTACCCTGCCTCTTCCACTCACATCAGGGGCCTCTGACCCAGCTTCTCAGAGAAATCTGTCTCACAATGGCCTCCCTGAGGTATGCCTGTCAGTAGCCCAGGAAGAAATATCCAGCTCGAAACCACCCCAGGACTCACTGTCTTTGTCTTCCCTGGAGGAGTAGCGTCGGTATAAGGAGATGCTCTTGGGCCTGTCACCTGGAGCTTGAGGGTTGGGGGACTCAGCTTCATTTTTCACTTCCTCAATTTAATTTGAAGCCCTGGGTGCCCCTGCTAGTGTCCAGAACACAGTAACCAACCCCAACCCTGCCTCTAGGAAGCTTGCATCAAACGTTGCCTGACCGCACCCATTTTTATATCTTTCCATTCTTCCTTGTCTTCACAGCTCCATTCTGCTTTCCGACCACCACAAAAAGATTCCTCCTCAAACCTGGTGGCCAAGGCCCAGTCCTTGCCCTCGGACCAGCCCATGGGGACCTTTAGTCCTCTGACCACCTCGGATACCAGCAGCCCCCAGAAATCCCTCCGCACAGTCCCAGCCGCTGGCCCACTTCCAGGCCGGTCTTCTCCAGCAGGTTCCCCGCGCACTCGGCATGCTCAGATCAGCACCAGCAATCTATACCTGCCCCAGGACCCCACAGTGGCCAAGGGGGCCCTGGCTGGAGAGGACACTGGCATTGTGACACACGAGCAGTTCAAGGCTGCGCTCAGGATGGTGGTGGACCAGGGTGACCCCCGGCTGCTGCTGGACAGCTATGTGAAGATTGGGGAGGGTTCCACGGGCATTGTGTGTCTGGCCCGGGAGAAGCATTCCGGTCGCCAGGTGGCAGTCAAGATGATGGACCTCAGAAAGCAGCAACGCAGGGAGCTGCTCTTTAATGAGGTGGGGGCCAGGTGGGACAACAGCAGGGCAATGAGTGTTCAGTGAGAGCTGGGTACCAGGGAGCAACGTGGCAGGATGGCGGGGTGGTCTGACCACGGGATACTGCGCTAGGCACTCAGGCCTCTCTCTCCCCTCAGGTGGTGATCATGCGTGACTACCAGCACCTCAACGTGGTGGAGATGTACAAGAGTTACTTGGTAGGCGAGGAGCTATGGGTGCTGATGGAGTTCCTGCAGGGCGGGGCCCTCACAGACATCATCTCCCAAGTCAGGTGGGCAGTTGAAAGGGCTGGGCTGGGCTGAGGACCACCCTGCCACTGTCTCGGCTTGGGGATCAGCTGCCTCTGGCCCATAAGGCTAGTCACCTTAGACTCCTGCCTGTTTGGGGCTAACTGAGACTCGGTGGTCTTAGAAAAATGGTTACAGACTGCTTAAGTATGCTGCCTGGGAGTTGTGGGCCCCTTTGACTGGGACCCCTCTCTACTCAACCCAGCCACCCTGATAACATGGCTCGCTCTCCCATGGTTGGCCTGTCTTCCCTGTCCAGGCTTAATGAGGAGCAGATTGCTACTGTGTGTGAAGCTGTGCTTCAGGCCTTGGCTTACCTGCATGCCCAGGGTGTCATCCACCGGGACATCAAGAGTGACTCCATACTGCTGACCCTTGATGGCAGGGTAGGTCCTCCCTTTCCACGGCTCAGCTGCACCCCTGCCCCATCCCCTGTAGCATCCCCTTCCTTCTGGTCTCCATCCACTCCCTTTTCAACTTGCAGGTGAAGCTCTCAGACTTTGGATTCTGTGCTCAGATCAGCAAAGATGTCCCCAAGAGGAAGTCCCTGGTAGGAACCCCATACTGGATGGCTCCTGAAGTGATCTCCAGATCTCTCTATGCTACCGAGGTAACTACTTCCTCCACCTCCAGGCCTCCCCGGAGAAGCTCAGGGACATGTAGCTCCTCTGTCTTGTCCCTGTTAAGTGTTCCCACCACTAACAGCCCCAGTTCTTAGGTCCCCACTTAACCAGTATCTGTCCCCCGCCTCCCTTTTTGAGAAAGGGTCTCTCTATGTAGCCCTAGATTTCCTGGGACTCACTATGTAGACCAGACTGGTCTTGAATTTACAGAGGTACCCCTGCCTCTGCTCCCAAATGCTGGGTCTAAAGACCCTCACCACCACGACTAGTCCTACCTCCCCCTTTTTGATGGCATCACTCCTAATCATTGCCAGGAGCAGACCCTGCCACGCACTGTTCTCTTCAGCTCAAGGGCATAGTGGCATATGGCCAGTGTTCTCCATGATGGATGGTTTCCGTGGTCACTGGCCACTCACACAGAAAGGGGCTGACTGTAGGGCAGCTGGCCAGGGGATGAAGGAGGCAGACTCACTAGGAAGATTTGGAAGGAGACAAGATGCTCCATCCAACACACTGCCATCGAGAGCCGGACCCCAGCGGCAGAGTAGAGTCCAGACTATTCTCCTGCAGGTGGATATCTGGTCTCTGGGCATCATGGTGATTGAGATGGTGGATGGAGAGCCTCCCTACTTCAGCGACTCCCCAGTGCAAGCCATGAAGAGGCTCCGGGACAGCCCCCCACCCAAGTTAAAGAACTCTTACAAGGTCAGTTATTGTGCAAGCTGTGAACTCCCCGACCTCAGTCCCTGAGCCCTCTTCTCCTGGGATAAGAGGATGGGAACACCGCGGGTTCCATGGAAGCAGAAGGGTATAGGCTTTTGGTCTTCTCCCACATAAAACCTGTGCCAGGTGCAAAGTCACACTTACGTTCAAACTCCCACGTGTACTCCAACAATCCCCCCCCTCCCGTGGCTGCAGCAGGACAATCGCTTCTCCGGAGGCTCTTGACAGGAGCCCACCCACACCTATGAGGAGAAAGGGTGAGGACCTCAGGACTCCCAGCTGTCTCCCAAGTACAAATCCTTCCACGCCGCTTGTCAGGGGCCATCACATGAATGGGCTTGTCCTCTTGTATGACACATCCTGACCGTAGCTGAGCCACTGCTTTTCCCTTAGAACCAGTGTATACTTATTATTATAATTAACTATTTCCTGCCAAATCCATGCCCTGCTGGCAGATTGGCACGGAGCAGCTAAGTGGTACTGCCACCTGGTGGCCAAAGCAAAGAAAAAATCCTAGAGGCTTGAAGCACAGTCTGTAAACGGCTCCAAAACAGCTTGGTCCTTGGAAACTGCCCTGCTAAGCCCAAAGAGAGCAGGTCCAGAAGAGCGCTCATCTGTCCCAAGGAGGCAGCCTTCTGTAGCATCCTGGCAGCCTCATAGATCTGGAACTGGATCACCGACACCAGTTCCATGCCCCTTTCACAGAGCTGCAGAGCCTGAATGCCAAGAGCCCCTAGAAGCAGGTAGGGGTAATGGGCCACGTATGGAACCCAGCTACCCAGAGTTCCAGACATCCTCATTCCATTGCCCTGCAGCTCTCATGACCGGTGGAACTGGCCTCCTTTTCCTACCTCCTAATCCAACAGTCAGTGAGCCTGGGAGGAACCAGGAAGTAAGAAACCAGAGCAAATGAGGTACACAACAGTGGAAGCCCCACAGTCAGGCTGCAGGGAAGTAACTGTGAGCCATGGCTTCCTCTCACTGCTCTGCTCCACAGGTCTCCCCAGTGCTTCGAGACTTCCTGGAACGGATGCTGGTACGGGAACCCCAAGAGAGAGCCACAGCCCAGGAGCTCCTGGATCACCCCTTTCTGCTGCAGACAGGGCTGCCTGAGTGTCTGGTGCCTCTGATACAGCTCTACCGCAAGCAGACCTCCACTTTCTGAGTCCACACCCAGGGTGCAACTGCCGCCTGCGCCCACAGGCCAAGGACACTGGGCAGCCAGTCCACTGGCAGGGCCTACCTGCCTTGTTCTCTCAGTATTCTCTCCAAAGATTGAATGTGAAGTTCCAGCCCTTCCCTCTTGCCCTTTTGCCCACCGGGCCAGGCCGGACCTGCCCCCTTAGTCTCACTCCCCATCGTCCCAGTTGCCTTTGGGATGACAGTGACCCCTTCTGCAGGTTTGGCCCTTTGTTATTTGCACAGGGATGTTTCTAAGAAACACGGAGAGTGGTGCTCCTGGCCACCAGCCAGCAAAGCTGACAGGCTGCTGCAGATTTTTAAAGGCAGTGTCCACTAGTGTCCTGGGCCACCAAGAGGGTGCATGAGCCATCTTCACATGGATACTTGCTAATCTCAGCTACAGCTTCAAACCCCAGAGTCCCAGAAGGCCTCGGGGAAGGATTTTATTGCCTGAATCCTCCCTTGGTGTGACTCCTGGAAGCCCCACTTGCACCTGTTTCCTGTCTATCCCCTGGCAAGCCTCTCCCCAGAAAGCCTCCACAGAACTGTGAATTGCCTGTGTGTAGGCCATGGGAATAGCAAGGGGGATCTTCTGAGAGAGAGCATGGTTGATGGTAAAAGTGGCTCCATTTTTTTTCAGAATGGAGAGAACATACTCTCTCTCTCTCTCTCTCTCTCTCTCTCTCTCTCTCTCTCTCTCTCTCTCTCTCTGTGTGTGTGTGTGTGTGTGTGTGTGTGTGTGTGTGTGTAAAATCCCAATAGCCTAGGCCTTTCCAGTTATCCACAGAGAGCTTCAGAAGAGCTGCCCCCCACCCCAATCTTCTTTTCTATCAAGCTCTACTCTGAAGGGGCCTGCTTTTGGGGCCTGGCTTTCTGCCTCTCAAGTCTCCTGTTATTACCTAAACAGTGAAGGGGTGTGTATATGTGCAGTCTAACACATGCTGGGGCCCTTGAAGTTTCTGACTTTCTCCCATACTGAGACAGGAATAGTAAGGGAATAAACTTTGTTTTACCTGGCAGCAACTTCTCAGTAGCCAGATCATCAGGGACCCTCTTCAGAACCCTGGGACAGAAAGGTGAACCACCTGGGGGGGGGGGTGTCCCTCATGCCAAGGGTTAGGTACCTTCCATGTGTGAACCAGCTGCCCCTGCAGATGCTACCCTGCCCCTTTGTCTCCCCTCCCTTCCCCCCTTCCTGGCTGTTGTGAGACAGGGAATGCCAAGGAAGAACTCCAGTGTCTGGACCCTATCCAGATAATATTTTTAGATTCCTCTGCTCCCTGATGACCTGCATTAGGGCAAAAAAAAAAATTGCAAGGTCTTTTTTTTAAGGGTCAGAGTTTTAAAAACAAAAGCATCTTCCCTAGAATTTTTTGTGAATTGTTTGCACTTGTGCCTGTTTTAAATTAAACTGAATGTTCGAACCTCCCGGTTTTCCATTCTCTGGGACTAGAGCCAGGCTTTCTTGGATCTGGATGCCTTTGGAATGGGTGCTTGGTGGGCTCCTCAAGATCACTTGACTCCACAGAACACCTAGCTTCTCTTGTGTCTTGTACACCTAGAATGAGGGCAGAGAAGGGGGGGACAGGAAGTGAAAGGCCCTGGGAATGGAAGCAAAGGAATGAGAGGGCTCTGGCTGAACCACAGGGACTGACCCCTTTCAACTTTGGCTTCTCCCCTTGCCTAGTCGCCAGGCTGCCCATAGAAAGTCCCCTGAAATTTCTACCTGAAAGAAAGCAGACCCTGTGAGGAGTAAGTTTGAAATTTCAAAAGAGCATGGAAGTGGCCAGAAACCAAAAAACTTGGGTTCTGGCCCTGGGGTGGGAGGTGGGTAAAATTACCCTTTAGCTTTTAGTTCTGGCAGTGATTCCAATCTTCCTTTTCTGAGCTCTACACCCAAAGCAATGCTCACTTAACCAACCAGGAGTGAGGAGCCATACTCAGGGCCCCAGCCCCAACCCCAGCCCCACCAGTTCAGTAAGAAGCAGCCCCTGCAGCTCTCTCCCTTCAGGCTCTAGCTGCAGAATGTCCAGGGCCAAAGCAAGTGTGTGCTTCCATCTTTTCAAAAGATGCCGAAAGACTGGAGTGAGCAGGAAGGCAAAGAGAGGCCGGTTCTCCAAATGGAATAGCACTGGGTTTATTATCTGCTCTTACCCCCACTAGTCCTTAGAACCACAGATATCACTCCACACTCATGTGCCAATGCCCCTCAGCCTTCCACACCAACCAGAACTGAATGCCAGTGGCCTGGGTGACTCTTCACAGTGAGGACAATAATATAAAAGCAGAATACACAGCAAATCTTTTCTACAGCAGGAGGGGACAAAGGGTGACTGCAGCCTCAATGTTCCGAGAGCTGACAGAGGAAGTTTAGGGAGAGTGAAATGTGCTGGAGTTCTGCTAAGTCTGTGCAGACAGCAAGACCCACAACTCAGTTCAGACGGGAAAGATCTGCTGCAGTCTTCCAAAAACATCACTTCAACCACCCAGCTTCCAGCCACTCGGCAGACCACAGACAAGAGCAGTTGTTTACCCAACAGAGATGTGCCAAGGTGACATTCCCACATCAGCAGTACTGAAAAGATGACAGTACCCCTGGCACACGTGTGAGCCAAACTTCATGGTGCTTGAAGCCAAAATGTTTGTATTCTTACACCATTAAAAATGCCATTAAAATTAAACACAGTTGAAAATGGAATGTGAGCAAGGAAGGGTTAGAGAAAAAGCAGTAGTCACTTGGAGTGTCCCTGCCCTGACCTCCTCTGGCTTTTCAGACATTGTCACTCAGGGGACTGAGGAGAGGCAGGTATGTGTGCTAGGGGGTGAAGGGTGTCTGTGTATGTTGGGGTGGGGTGGCAGATTGCTTGCCACAGAATGGAGAGAAACTCATAAGAAAACAACGCACATAGTCAGGTCAAGGCTCAGAAGCCATAGGTGTTGGCAGCTCCAGCTGTTCCCATGATAGCAGGAGCTCTCTCAACAGTAGCCTTGGCTTGGGAAATGGCTTGGGGTTCTCGGTAAAGGGGTTCTTGGTGGGATTCTGGGCACTTCTTACAATGCTGACTTTCCTTTGTACACTGTTCCTCACTTCACTGAAGTGACTTCAAGTATCCGGATTTAATATTTTACAAGAGGAACGCGCTTCGTGGGTAAAATGCACACAGAGGAAGAAGTTACACATCAATGATCTCCCGCAAAAGCGATGCCTGAGTTCCCAGGGCACAGCGAAGAGAGCACAGAGGTGCCACCAGGGGGCAGCAAGGATCACCGTCCAAAGTGTGGGCTGGAGCGCGGCCTCGGACGCTATAGCGAGGCCAGGAACTGGGGAGGTGTCTGGGCTCTGCAAAAGCTGACTTCCTACCACTCAAGCGCAGGACCAGGTTCTCAGCACCAGCATTCTCTCTTGGCAGTTCCCTCGGAGTTACTGGTGAGAAACCCACCCACAAATTCAACAGATCAACGTCTTAAAAAAGACTTTATCGCCAGCACTCTTCCGGGTTCACAAACAGAAACCGGAGGTACTGTCATGGCCAAAAAACTTTTACTGCCTTGAAGCAGTTTTCACCACGGCCTGCTGGTACAGATCTCCCACCAGGAGCTATTACGGACTCTGGGTCGTAGAGCATGCGACCTGTCAAACCCTTTTCTTCGCCGCCTGTGGAGGCGGTACAGAGTTGGACGGCAGGGGCGGAGAGGGAGAGGACAAAAGACTTGGAGGGGAGGGGGCCTAACTACCTCTCCGCGGTGCTTCTGACTCACTAATCTGCCCAGTAATAAAAGCTGGAAGCTGGGCTGGGCCTGCATCCCACGCGGTGGGGCACAGGCAGGGGTCCTTGGTCTCGATCTAGCATCCATCATCCGCCCTGCCCACCATTACCAGCCCAGCGAGAAGCAGGAGACGTTTAGCAGCCCCCTCCTATGCTCCCTCCGGAGTTTGATGTAATTTAGATCCGGACCTGCGGTTCGTGTGGGCTCCCGACTCCCGCGCGCCGCCGTTTAACGCTGCAAACACTCCAGTCAATTATCCCCCTCGCCGAGGTGCTATTTAAAGAGACATTGTCAGGTTCTTAAGCCTCGGATCAGACCTGCTGCTTTCTGCCTCATACACAAAGGCTCAAAACACGAGTTCTTTTGAGGGTTGAAAGAAATACAATTAAGCAAATCCTTCCTAACTGTTCTACCCTCCTGGAGCACCCACGTGCAGAATGGGGGAGCTGGGAGGAGGAGGTGGGACCGTAAGTCCTTTCCATTTCAGGCCTCTAGGACTAAGTGGAAATATAAGTAAGGCTGGGCCAGGAAGCACTGAACCTCAAAGATGAAATTCAAACGCAATCATGCTGGGGGTCAAGCTGGCCCAGGAGCCAAGTCAGTAGGGGCTTGGAAGAGCAGCAACCCTATAATATCAATGAAGTCACAAGACGATTACTCCCCAGAAGAGACAACTGGTGAACAACACCTAGACCGGGTACAAAGCCCAAAATATTCTCATTGCCTTGAAGGGAAGAGTTTCTACTGTAACCACTGGATTCCTTCATAATCAGCCCTCTGATCCAAAAAGCATTTGGGGGGACTTCAGTCCTCCCTTTCCCCAACACTTAGAGCGAAGGGAAACTTTGGTAGTTACCAAACTATTATGGTCAGCAACAGTAGGCACGGTCGGCTGGGCCTTTGTTTTCCAAAGCCAGCTCTACTGTTGCCGGACTACCAACGTGATTGAAAAAGTTAGAAATAAGTAGTGGATTTCACAGGAACCGAAGCAGAACCTAGGCGGTTTCGCCACAGGGTCCACTTTTCTGGCTAGAAAGCTGAAACCTACAGAAGTCTTTCGAGTCTCTTTTTTTCCCCCAGGACAAGAGAGGTTGTAGGAAGGTGAGAGTTCTACACAGGAAATACCAAACAGCACAAAAAGATGAGATCTTTCTTAAATCTGGTGGAGGACTGATGAAGGTCTCCCTTTATCTGTGAGGACAAAGTGTGTGTGTGTGTGTGTGTGTGTGTGTGTGTGTGTGTGTGTGTGTGTAGGGGGCAAGTCACAGAAAAAGGGGAGGACTTGGAGAAAGGGACATCTCAGTGACCGGAGAAAGGGACATCTCAGTGACCAGAGACACAAGAGGCCATATGGACTGCGCAGGTCTCGACCTGCATGCCCCTTATCGTTGAGCCTGCAGTACCACAGCCTCCGTGCCAGCCTGCCAAGGCTTTGGCCCAGGCACTGAGAAAGGCAGAGCATTGGTCTCTAATTCCGGGCCACTCTCTGGCCCTGAAGCCTCACCGACCAGGCTGGGGATGTCTGGGGCTGTGGACCGTCGCCGCAAACCCAGGCGGCCAGAGCCCGGGCCACCCTCGGGATGAGGACTAAGGCCGATAGGGGCTTGCACAAAGGTTGGGGGCGCTCCCTCCAGCACCTCCTGTGAGCGCCACCGCCCACTCCCCGCAGACTGGGGTGAGTTTGCTCGGGCCATCAGAGCTCCTGCCCGAAGGCGTGCTGTCTCCTCCTCCGTCATGGTACCCAGCGCCAGGCTCATGCTCCGGCCCAGCTCTGGCCTCTCGCTGCCTTGTGCCCTGTGACGGCCTGAGCCCTTGCCAGCAGAGGCAAGCTCACCTCCTTCTCCAGGGCCGTGGCCGTGGCCG